AAAAAGAAAAGAAAGAAAAAGTCTTGAAAAGTCTCAAGAAATGAAGTAGAAAAACTTTACGGCTTCATGAGGGCTCGAACCGCGAACCCCGCAATTAGTACTTTGACACCGCCTAGCCTGTGTACATCCGTTTCTCACCCCTCAAAAAATCGGGGAGAGAACGTCTGTGATTTGCCGTTGCTAATCGTGTTCTGAGGTCCTCAAGATTTTGAGGACGAATTTCATTGGCCGTTGACTTATGAGACTTGTGATTGGCCAAAATCAATAGATGGCGTGTAAAGTTGGTCACACGAGTGAAATATAAGCCTTCATGGTAAACCACTGGAACATGTAGAATGCCTCAAATTGAATATGTTATTTGCTCTCAAATTCTCTGTAAAAGTTTAGGCTTTAATCTTATATTCGGTCAGGGTAAATTTAAAATTGATGTGGAATTATAATGTCATTAGAATTCGCCGCCAATCTTTAAAAAAAACTTTATCGGGCCCAAAAAGGTCAAATCACAGAAGCTAAGACCGAAATGGTACTTGGGAAGACAAACAATTTGGCTAATTTCATAACAAACAGCTCTCCAGCATAAGACTATCATGCTGTTAATCTTACTAGCTCTACTTGATTTACTAGTACGGTACACCGTATATGCAAATGTAATCCCAATTTAGTGGTACTGAAAATCCCTTTCGGTCTTAGCTTCTATGATGTGACGTTTTGGAACACGACTAAGGTTTTTCAATGAGGTGTAGTCAAGTTGTGCCGATAGGATAAATTCAAGCTATTTATCCAAGCCGGCCACAGTTTTTATTGAACATACCAGAAATAGCCCCCCAAAAAGCATTGCATTAATACTTTGAAGAGGTATAATCAGTACAGAATTAAATAAGGCACTAAAATGCGCTACATATCGGAGTATAAAATCCTAATTCCATGCTGATATATGTGCAAAGTAAATCAGAGTTATTCTATGAAATCTATGTATCTACCGTTGTGACGAAATGGCTGTTTAATAAATATAGAAATCGTAAGAGAATGAAATAAATATATATACAAAGAAAATATTTTTACAGTGTTCGAACATTCCGTATGCATGGCTGTTGATCAAACCAACGGTCTCTATTCTCGACTCCATTCTCCTAGATCTTCCTACGAGTTTGTTATCAAGTTATTGAATGCTTTGATACGACATTAAATGTTACTCTATCGATATTAAATGGCTTGTGAAGTCTTTCTGTTGAAAATAGGTTTTCCAATGTAGATCGGGCTTCGTAGTCGAGGATGATTCGTAAGCGTTCCTACACAAACAAAAACAAAATTACTTAATATTTTTTATGTAACTTTTAAACAGATCGAACTGTATTGATGGTTTTCAACCATTCCCATGAGAGTGAGCAAAACAGAAAGGTCCACCAGTCACGGTGGTGGTTTTCTTTTGTCAGGTCCACCAGCAATGGCGGACATCTTTTGTTTACTTTCTCTCCTGGGAATGGTTGAAAACCATCAAGAGGGTATAGAATGGAATATTGAATCGTAAACCGTTATGCACCATTAAAAAAAATTGGGATTAAATATCCCTTTTAAAAAGGGAAAATGAGCTTCAGGCATTTGATGTTCTTAATTTTATATTGAAAACAAACGCAGTGATAATACGAATATCTTTGAGAGTACATTCTTAATTTCATCGAAATAGAGAACTTACACATTCTGGAATGAATGCGTTCTTTAATTATTTTTGGTATATTTTTGGGACTAAGGAAATACCAATTCTTGGCTTGTAAGTTACTTCATCACCGCCAAGTTGGATCATATCACAAAGCATTCCTCATTAGTTTCTCTTGTTCATTCATCCAACATGGCGGCGATAGCTTTGTTCTTTATTTCTCAGGGAATTCCTGGTCATGTGGTTGCACAACAAGAATATAACTATTTTTGATTCCCAGTTGGCCCAAAACAATACTGTTACAAATATCAAATATTACCTAGCACTTAAGAGACTAGAGCAGAGTCACTTGAACCATGAAATAGAAACTAAATACTTAGTACCTAATAGGCACTATTTAGACACTATCACTGAACCAGAACAGTACAAAGAGATTACTTTGATTGTTATAGTTTTCTCTTGGGTATTGCTTATTGGATCAAATATAGTGTTCTGGTTCAGTGCTAATGACTATTAGAAACTAATAGTGCCTATTAGTTAGTACTTTTTAGTTTTTATTTCATGGTTCATGTGACTATGGTTCATGGTTCATGTGCTCTATGTTTTTAACAAAGTCGGCACTTAATCTTACCGTTTCCCTGTTAGTATCTCCCCATATGAACGGTGGAAGCTGGGCTGAGTTTAGCAGAGGGTAGACACTGTCCATGTACACCTCACGAAAAAAGTTCTTCATTACTGAAGTGACCCGCTGCATTCAAAGAAGCAACAAGAATTGTATAAGCAATTGAAAGAATTGTATAAACAAAAA